ACGTCGATCTAGATATGAGAAGAAAAAAGCCGAGTATGCCTCTCGGCCGAGCTGGCGAATGAAATATTTGTCAACATAATTCGACGCGTAACAATAAATTTTAAGAGCTCGTATAATATACGCGTACGTACGTGGGCAACGGTTCGAACCCAATTGCCCGGCTATATGTATATGCGATCGCTCTTATGTGCAAGTGTGTGTGTGCGTGAAACAGAACGAGCAGTCAACTTGTTTAGCCGTCCCCGTTTTGAAGTCGAGAGTTCTTGCTCCAAATTTTGCAGCGCCTTTATATGACTCGCACACGCTCGTGTACCCATACACACAGATAACGATTCGAAATTATATCACACACCGAGATCCAAATTCGAGCCAGTGAGTAATCGGACGTCGATTATTTTTGGGTTCTCGATCCCGAGCTGCGAGCAGCGCGCAGTAAGCTAACACAATGGCGACTTGGTTTTTCACTCCGCTATACTTGCGTGCATCCCTCGGTAAAATCGATTCTCCTTCGTCACCAGGCGTAACCCTAACCCTCTTATATACACAGAAGGATAAAAAAACAGCCTTGGCTCGGTTCTCGGTTTCTTTTTTATCGCCTATGGGTTAAATGACACGAATAGTTTTACGGAATGAGCCGATTTTCGAGCGATAATATAGGTCTGCCAGCCGCAGCTGTACAGCCTTCAATCGTCGAACTCGTGTTTACCGAGAATTATTGAAAGCTCGAAAAAGTGCCGAGAGAGCCGAATTATATAGGTAGGCCGTAAAGCAGCGTAGTGTCGAAACATCGCAAGCGCACAATGCAAAGTGCAAGAAAACGCAAACATATTACACACTGCACACGCGTCATATACATCGCACACTTCGACATTGCAGAGCGCGCGCGCGGCAATGCACAGCACGCCTCGGTCTACAAAGGTCGAGAGCTTTTTGTGAATAATTTCGCGTTAGCCTCCAATCGCGCGCTCGTTCTAGATAACGTTTGGGGTCACGCGTTAACCTACGACGCTCTCGGCAGCTGCCGCACACCCATGATGCGCGCACGCCACAATGCAGTATGGGTGCAGTATCGAATGGATGCGCCATCGCCTGCACCGCCTCGCTCGTCTTTGCCTCAAGGAAATGTCAAGATTTTTTTTCTCCTTCTCGAGCAATGAACGAATCGAGAGCGAGATCGTCGCTCGGTTTATAATCGATGTCGAAGCTGTATAGCCTATAGCCGCGACGAGGCATACACACACACAGATCGGAGTAGAGGACAAGGTTCTCTAATCGATGCAGACGCGCGCGCACTCGTACACTCGCGTCATCGCATCGGCGACTTTGAATTTTCCTCGAACTCGACATGAATCTCGTCGCTGGCTAGGCTATACAGCCGCGGCGATTCCCTCGCGTAACCGAATGTGCAGCTTCTAAAAGTGCCCCGCGCGTGCCTTACCGCAGTCTCGTATGTATGCAGCTTTCGTGTATGCATTATATACACATGCGAGCTGCACGGAGAGGTCTGCAGCGAGGCAAGTGCCGCTGTACACACGCCGCCGCCGTATCGAAGCTTTGACCTCAGCCCAATTTGAGTTTTCAAAGCAGTGGCAGCGCGTCGTGGTCGCGTCGTGCGCTTGACGTCGTGCAGACTTTCGCGCTCGCGACGCACGCGCATATGCACATTTTCGTATCGCCTCGTTGCAGCAGCAGCAGGCCACGTGGCCTCGCTCTACTACCTTCCCAGCGTGTGTGCATACACACGCTCGCTAGCTCACACGAGTTTGCCATTGTAATTTTCAAATACACGACTCGACTTGATTGACGGAACGGCTCGAGTCGTTCGAGCTCCATTGTGACTCTTGGCGCTTATCAATCGTCTTCAACCACGTTGCCTTACTTTTTTCCACATAGCAGTACTTTAACAGACGATATAAACTGCGAAATGTGTCGCGCGGATTTTCGGCCCGCTGAGCGAGTATACACATCTGCAATTCTCTTACGCGCGCGGCCATCGGAGAAAGTAGAACGAGGTAGAAGAGGAGGCGCGCGCGGGCGAGTGTATACGAGAGGTCTGCCGTACGCATAGCCCTGGTGAAAACGAGGAAGTTGGAGTGAAAACGCTTCTTGCATTGGGGGCCCCTTCGTACACATATACGCGCTAAAGAAACTCCGCGGTGATTTCGTATGGCCCAGAGCTGCGTAATTGTTGGTCAACATACGAGAGCGTATAGCATTGGGGCCGCCTTTCGAAATAATGCAAAAGCTGCCCTGGGCTCGTCTCGTTCGCGCTGAAAATGAAATTTTTTCGCCGACACGCTTATAGAGATCGATACGCGCGCAATAGTTCTCATCTGATAATGCAGACAGACAGCCCAACGCGATGGGACTGCATTCGCGATGCACTCGCAAAAGTAGGCGAATAGCTCGAGCTGCAACGAGAGCTCCGACGTGTATGCGCGAGATGATAATCTATGTGGGACAATAGAAACGATGTGGAAAAAATAGAAAATCGTGTCTCAATGCTTTGCCGCCGAGGTGTTTGTGTATTTGTGTGTGTGCGCGCAGTTCGCGCGTGGGGCTCGTCTGCATTTAGACCTCATTTGAATATTGATTAATCGCTCTCAATACACAAGTCGTACAAAGTAAAACTTGATTTTACACGCTGCGCACCGATTAGCGGCTCTGCTGCTGCTGCCCCATTGTGTTGCACAGTTTGCTCGACGCGAGCTCGACGGCAAAAATCCATCGACTTTTCATGCGTAATCGAACGAAATGCGTAAATGCGGCTCGAGAGGGAGAGACGAGTGAGAATGTAGTTCGCGATACTTTCAACTTTCATAATGTGTCCTCGTCCGCTATAGATCGCGCGTACAAAACACACCGGCACAGCTATACACGTATATATACGCATGTATATTATTTATCCGCGTGCCCGTGCGCGCATAAAATCATTTCTCCCGATTTCATTTGTTCAAGATGCCATGAGAGAAACTATCAACATTTTCATCTTTCCCCGGTGCAGTGCAGCACAGGCTTCTGCGTGCTGAAAATTTTTCGTTTGTTTCGCATTATATCCACGTACCCTTTTTATTATATGGCGAGTGAGAAAGTTTCTCAGTTTTCAGAACAATTTCACTCGCATTTTCTCTAGCTTTTCTCGCGCGCGCGCGCGGCCTTTCTTATGTATGAGCATATAGCGAGAGGCGAGACTGTGTACCAACGAATGTGCGCGCGACGTTTTAATAATACAAAATTTTGACACATAAATCGACCGTTGGATCAAAGAGAGCTCGCTAGAAGACTTTGAAAATTTCGCAAAAAAACCAAGAGAGACTAGACGAAGAGCATGAACAATGTTGCGCGAGTTTAAAAATAATCAAGCCCGCTTCGTTGAGAGAGCTGGCTCTAGACCAGCAGCAGCAACACATAAGCTAGTCCGGAAGTAATATAGGACGTGTGCGCGTATACATATGACCGATTCCCCGTGAAATCGAGTGGACAAGAAACAATTTTTTCTACTGTCACGAAAAACTTGTTGCTTTTGAGGTCATACACATCTCCAAATTTTAAATAGAATTTTTGGATACGCAGCCTATTTTCAGAACCCCGAAGTTTGCATTTTTTCTAAGTTCATAATTATTGCTCATATTAAAAAAAGATCCTGCTCAGTCCTGAGCAAAACATTTTTATCGAGGTTTTTTACAGGAAATTTTCCAAAAAAATTTACTGGAAGGGTTTGAATACTTTTGGAGATGGCTACTATTCAGTGGAAAATAAAAGTCAAACTTCAATCGAGTTGAGTCTCTGCTTCCTTTACAACATTACTTACACATCTTTTAAATATAGTATATTCGTCGATATATTAGTGTTTGACCATTCGATTTCCGAGAGAATCAGTCATATACAAGCGTTATGACTGTCCTCGTTCGAACGCGAATACGGGATTGAAATCTTGTAATGTAGCTACATCGGAGCCGTGAAAACGCCTCTAGACTTTTCGAACGTATCCAATTTGTTTCGCTCATTCGGGCCTCATGTGTTTAATTATCGCTCGGCGATAAGAGCCCAGTAGCGCATGTGTCAAAGTCATAAAAAAAAACAGTTTTTTTTTCTATGCGTGTGTACCTATGCTCTCGTTGTGAATGCTCGCGTGTAATCTGTGTGTGTGTTACACACACTGTGAGTATTATACGTTCGCGCAAATGGCGAGGCGAAAAGAAGCTGCCGACCTCGCTTATGCTCCAGTTAAATTCTAAGCTCTGTGCTCGCAAAAGCGTTTCTCTTAATTGCTTCGAAAAATTAAAAGTCACGAATGAAATTTAAGCTAGACTCGCGGGGCTCTTGTATATGGCGGGGCCGCGAGCTTTATCGTAGCTGCGCCGCGAGCCCGGCAATGATAAAGAGACTTTCCTACGGCCGTTTTTATCCGTGCGCATAAGCATAGCGGCAGAGACGGCAAGGGCCGCAGGTCCGATGAACCTGATGTGGGGGGCTATTGCACTCTCTCGCGCCATATATATACTTACAAACACACACACACAAATACACACTTGGCTTGGCGAGTATAATACAAGAGCACGTGAGCTGCATCGCGTGTAGCTCCCTTGCAGCATGTACTCCGCGCAACCCTCTCATTTCCTCTTCGTTTATTTCTTCTGGGTACGTGCGATATGTGTGAGTATGTGTGTGTGTGTGCGAGCTCGCGTTGCCGCCGCTCCCGATGCTACTGCTGTTATTGTTGTTGTTGTTGTTGTTGCTGCTGCTGCTGCTGCTGCTTCTTTTTTTATAATAGCCAGGCTCGCGCGTTCGATACGAGCCACTGATTTTATACGTGCATATTTACTCGGAGTGTATTCTCCCAGCTAATAACGATTAAAAATGTTTATTTATGTATTTGTACGATATGAACGATAATGGCATTAAAGATAAGGACAATAATAAGCAGAATACAATAAACATAAAAGTAAATGCTAAGAAATAATAATGAGTAATATTTTTGTTTTTTACTGTGATTGCAGGCTTCCGGTGAGCGACTGTGCGCCACAAACGTCGCGGGTCAGCTCGAATTTACATTCGAATAGTAGTAGTATGGCGGTGAGTCGTGTACCAAGCCCACCACCGCCCGAAGTCAATACTCCAGTTGCAGAGAACTGGTGTTACACACAGGTAAGCCTTAAACACCCTCAAAGAGCTGCGCAAATGTGACACAATGTAACACGGAGAAAACTCGTAAAAATTTGCCGCTATGATAGTCTCTTTCTCTCACACTCTCGGCATGATTATTCATCTTTCTCTTATTCGTTGTCGTCGTTCATGCCGTCGCGCGTAGTAGTAGTAGTAGTCGTCGTTGTCGTCGGCAGTCGACATCGGGTTTATTTTTGCGCTGGTTCTGCCGAGTGCAACGACCTGCGACTAGATATCTCGTTCTCTTCCCCAATGCACACTCGGCACTCACATAACACACACTCACATGCAGATACTCACGCGGCGCATTATTTAAATATGTATTCTTCCTCGTCGCGATTTATACATAGCCCCGCGTTCGTTCGTCTATCGCATAAGGACAGAATATTTTTCCCAAGCCCGCGCGGCAGTTTTCTGCTGAAAAAAAAGGTAATTGCTCAAGCGACGCACGTGTTACGCCTGCGTGGAAATTCGCTATGTATCACGATTTTATCTCGCATTATATACGCTTATTGGCTAGTGACTACATATACGTATGTGTGTGTGTGTGTGTGTGTGTGCGTTCGTCTCATGCGCATTATATATATATGGGAATGAAAGTATGCGTGGAGCGTACGTAGTGTCCGAGTTGGTGGCAACTGGCGATGCAGTATTTTATTCGCGCGCGGGCACACACGCACATGCATAGTTTGGAATTCAGAGCGCTCGCTCGCACACACACATACACACAGGCTCGGAGTCGCGCGCGCACACGCGTGTATGCATATAAATGCAGATATATACGGAAGAGTCGATGAACTTTTGGCCTCGCTTGGTGTCTAGGAGCCCCGACCAGCGAGAGAAGTATATATACTCGCTCACGGCGCATTATATGCAGAAGCGCCGCTGCAGTTCGGCCTGCGTGCGGCACAGCTTTTCAATCTTTATCACATTATCGATCCTCCTGATGATGATTTCGCTCGGGCTGCTGCTGCTGCTGCTGCTGCTGCTCAAGGAACTACGAAGTTTAATGAAAAGAATCACGGAAGACATTTCGTGTGCACGCACAAGTATTTACTCGTGTGTTGTGCTGTGTAAATGATAATGATGATAATGATGATGATTCAAGGCCACTCGATGCCGCGAGTTGAATGACTCTCTCTTTCGCGGCAGTAGGAGAATGTGTGCGAGAGAGAGAGAGAGAGAGAGTCGAGCTCGCAGCGCAGAGGGAGCAGCCACCTGTGACTATTTAAAAATATGTATACTTATATGTAGCTACGCACATGCAAGCGTTGCAAGCACCAACGATTCTCATGTCCTCTAAGCCATTTCTTTATCGCGGCAGCTATATCTCCCTTAAAATCAACAAAATCATTCGACTAAAAATCTATCGGGTGATACGTACTCGTTATAGACAGACGAGTACCCCGCCTATGACAGCTGCGACATCGACGCTGCCGAGGGGTTCGTTGACCCTACGAAACTCGCTGAGTCTTTCCTGTGCTCTTTTCATGTACACACGTACTAATATGTGATATATGTCGAAAAAAAAGTAACAATGTGCTGCGCAACGATGTGCTGTTGTTCTTTATGCACTTTAGATTGTTGCGCGCGCGCGTCCGCATTGGCTCGCGTTTCATTATTATGCGAGGAAGATTTTTCCTGCTTAATAAATTGATATTTATCGTATGCACTGTATACGATCGCCGCGATGAACTTGAATGAAAAAAAAAACATCGTGACTTTTTTCAACAATAAATCTCGACGGTTTATAAGTTTTAAAATAACAATTTGTAAGCAGATGAATAAGTATACAATCGTGAGCGGGAAGGGCGAGAGCGAAAAAAATTTTGGCTCCAAGCAAAACTGCAAGGTCGTAACGAGTCGCATGACGTCAGTTTTATACATCCAAGAGAGGAAAGAGCATTGACTCCTGGGGAGGCTCGACCTCGTATTCTTATGCTTCTCCCTCTCTTCTTGCCGTGCCGAGCGATTTTCCTCCTTCTTTTACAATATACTTACCAGTACTCTCTTCTCTCCCTCTCTCTCTTCTTACTCTCTTTTTCTCTTGATTTGTGTACGCGTGTACGTATAAAACTTGGAGCCATGAAAAGCACTTCGTCAGCGTAATTTTGCATTTAAAAAATTTTTCATTTTTTTTTGTTATTGCAAATGTTCCTCGTTGGCTTCCGCATGAATCAGGCAACGTTACATGATGTAAAAACGACCATTAGTAAAGAAAAAAAAAATGATGAATAACAAGCGAATTCGTTTCGACCCTGAATCGAGTCGCGCACGTGTCAACTTTACACTACTTCCAGGGCCACGGATTACTTCTTCCCCTCTCACTATAGATATAATCTTTGCCTTCACCAGTGGTTAGATGTGTGTAGTACATGTACGAGCAAACTGAATACTCATTATTTTTCTTATTTCATCTTAATGAGATATCTTTACCGTTAGATTCTCAAAGTCCAATGAGTTTTTTTCAAAGTCTAATGTCCTTTTATCCGTAATTTGATAATAGAGTGCGCATACGCTCAAACGAATGCTGTACGAAACAAGACATGAAATGGTTTCTTTTTCTGCTTGCAGGTGAAAGTGGTCAAATTCAGCTATATGTGGACGATAAACAATTTCAGTTTTTGTCGAGAAGAGATGGGCGAGGTTTTAAAATCTTCAACATTCTCGGCAGGAGCCAACGACAAACTCAAATGGTAAGTCAAATGCACTTCCGCGAGCGCGTTAATTGGTTTTTGAATTATCGAGCGTATTACACAAGCTCAAGGATACAAAAATGATAAAATGATAATTTGTCACGCGATATGTCGCGTTACGTAAACCAAACGAGGAATCGAAACGAGCCAAGAATGCCACTAACGTTTTCTTTATTGTTCCATAGGTGTTTACGCGTTAATCCAAAGGGTTTAGACGAAGAGAGCAAAGATTATCTGTCGCTGTACCTACTGTTAGTGTCGTGTAACAAATCAGAGGTCAGAGCGAAATTCAAATTTTCTATTCTTAATGCCAAAAGGGAAGAGACCAAAGCTATGGGTAAGTTTTGTAATTGTGCATAATCTTGCGAGCTCGTGCACGGGAAAACAAAATATTAACTAGTTTTTGTCTCTTTTTGCAGAAAGTCAACGTGCTTACAGGTTCGTTCAAGGCAAAGATTGGGGGTTCAAAAAATTCATCCGGCGAGATTTCCTACTCGACGAAGCAAATGGTTTGCTACCCGATGATAAACTCACGATATTCTGCGAGGTACTTATCCTTGTATGTTACAAAAACGCCACTGTTAAAGAGACTTTTTCTTTAGTCTTTTTAGTGGCCATCGACGCGTTTGACATTTTCTCATTCTTTTTTTTTGCTGCTATTATTTCCGTAGGTGAGCGTAGTAGCCGATAGCGTCAATATTTCCGGTCAAAGCAACACGACGCAATTCAAAGTGCCAGAATGTAAATTACCTGACGATCTTGGCCAATTGTTCGAAAGTCAAAAGTTTAGCGACGTCACGCTCACGGTCTGCGGCAAGGAATTTCAAGCACACAAAGCCATATTGGCCGGTAAGTTTTCAATTTTCGCCAACGACTCGAGAGCCGAGCGATTGTTTTAAAGCCTTCAAGCTGATGAGAAAATGTTTTCTTATTCTTGCAGCGCGGAGTCCTGTGTTCTCCGCTATGTTCGAGCACGAAATGGAGGAAAGAAAACAGAATCGCGCGGACATCTCGGACGTGGAGCAGGACGTCTTTCGGGAGATGCTGCGCTTCATCTATACGGGCAAAGCGACGAACCTAGAAAAAATGGCGGACGATCTGCTCGCGGCAGCTGACAAATACGCGCTGGATAGGCTCAAAGTCATGTGCGAGGAGGCATTGTGCTCGAGTCTAGCAATCGACAACGCTGCCGAGATCCTCATCTTGGCCGACCTACACAGCGCCGATCAGCTAAAAGCGCAAGCGATCGACTTCATTAATACGTACGTAAAATGAATCGTTTACTTTTTGTTCAGCCGTTCAGACGGCACCTTCGTATCGAACTTGAATCTCATACGATGGCTCGATTTTTGCAGGCACGCGACGGATGTGATGGAGACGGCAGGATTCAAGTCGATGATCGGCTCGCATCCAAATCTCATAGCTGAGGCTTTTCGGGCTCTCGCGACGCAACAGATGCCGCCACTCGGTCCACCCAGGAAGCGAGTTAAACAAAGCTGAAAGCAATCATCGCTGATCCAGCAGGCAGTCGGCGGCGGCGGTCCAGCTAGCACGAACTCGACGACGAGTACGACTCACGCTAGCGCGACTGTCGCGACGAATTCACCGCTGCCTACACATCCGCCTTCGTCGTCTTGAGACTTTTGTGTATAGTGAAACAATTGACGAGCGTAGTAATTTATTCATTTTTCATTAACGAAAAAAGAATGAACATAGTTTCTGTGCGTGTGTCAAATAATCTCGATGGTCTAAATCGTATTCTGTGTTAATCGCGTGAATCATATGATATTTATTGTTCGCTCTCTCCCTCTCTTCTTCTCTGTCTTTACCTTTAACTCTGCATTTCTCTGTTTGTATGCATCTGTGATTGTCCATCTGCTTTATCGCCAGTGTGCTCTCTATACGTTTTTTCGCGTGAAAACAAAAACATGTACAATTTGGACGTCGATGAATACTTTTCTTAGTAATTGATGGGAGAAAATGTGGATAAAGAGTTAAAGGAAAGTTGAGAGCTGAGAGTTGTTGTGTCGTGAACGAAAGGCTGATGACTTTGATAGTCTACCGAGTTTGACATTCTACCGAGTAAAAACGTATGAGAAAGGTAGTTATGTCGAGTTCACCGATGATCATCATCTTTGGTGTAGAATTGGTCTTCTTATCCTCATTTTCCTGTTGGCCTCTATGCGACACTTCGGACGATGCACCTACTCACACTAAGAACTCTATTGTTATATTTACGTTGACAACACCAATCGTGAAAGTGTGAACGATGAGGAGTACGTTTTGAAATTATTAGAGGACCAAGAGTGATAGAGAGTTCGCCTAAGAAAATAAACTGTTTTACGATAAATGATAATGATGCTGATATGTTAAGGCGTCAGCTAAAGACGATTATAAACGTTTTGTTCCTTTGTCAGTGGATCAAAATGCGAAAATTCACATTGCGAATGATAGAAAATAAAGCTAAACAAGAAACTCCCGTACAAATAAACGATTGTGAACGACAAAAATTATAAGATAAATTGTGAAAGCAAAATGATTATTTCGATGTCGATTTATCATTTTACGTAAGACCCCACGAATCTGGGTCATTATTTAATGTAATCCTTCTCGTCTGGAAGGCTGTAGAATTCTTCGTTTATTATTATAATTACGATTACGATTATTACGATACATAAACCAGATAGTAATTTTTAATTGTAAATCATCGAACTCTTCCAATAATGGAGTAAATGATTTTAGTTAGTGTTTTGTATGATCTCTATCTCTCAATATGTATGATTATTATTACTATTAATGCTATGCGCAATCCTGGGCCCCGTAATTTTGTATATTTTTTGCCTGCAGATGAATTGTCCTAACTCAAAAATTATAACTGATTTTTATTTTTATTATTCAATTTTTTTTTCGTTCAAACCTCTAATTATTGATCAACAAGACGAACATTTTGGAAATTATTGTTTCTACTTTTAAAATTAAATTCGAAGGTTGTCCATAATCAAAAATGGAGCACTATATGTTGATTCGTGACAATATAGTCAAATAAAATCTTTTTTTTCCAGCTAAGTTGTTGAGAAAACATATTATCTGGAACTCGATTGAAGATTAAATGTATATAAAACCAATTGTTTATTAAAAATGTCACATACAATTAAAATTAATGGACTTGTGTTAATACTTGAATGTAAACCTGGCATTACAGTGACTAGCAACGCAGAAAAGAATTTTTATAGTACACCTTAGTCATTTAAAGTAAGATCTATAAATGGTTTTCATGTAATAACTGTTGAAAATTGAATTATGGGCAACCCAAGGCGATAATACATCGTCACTGTTTTAGTACTGTATTGGCTTCCTAAAACTTCAATTTAATTTATCTAAGGTCTTACGATTCAATATCTCCCCCATTATATTACACTAATGACGACGATAATGATTAAATATTAATGCCATACATGTTCTGTGATAAGTCCATTGTAACAATTGCAACTGTATCTTTACTCCTGCTCTTGAAACTTAACGCCACATCCCGATTTAGTCGATGATCCTGGCAGCCAGTGAAAATATATTTAAGTACGAATAATCTGTCGGACGGCCCCATCGAATAGAGAGAACTGTTATTACGTCTCTGATGTACATATGGTATAAATATATAAATATAAAATATAAATAAATATATATAATATATTTCGCTTCAGCACAACTTGCAAATGATTGAAAAATAATGTCGAATTTTTGCGTAGAATGTAATGATTGAATATCGTTTTTTGATCGTACGTTCCTTTTATAATTTTTTTTTCTTAAACAGACCAATGTTTTAAAAAAAAACAGCGCAACGTGATAACTGAACATTTTTAGCTTTAGCGATCGCTATGTGTGTGACTAAGAATTTTGTAAATTAAAATTGACTCTCGTGTAAAAGCGTCCATGTGTGTATACTAATGTTTCGTTGGACCTTTGGTCTAACAAACAACGGAAAAAAAAATATTACAAAGCTATATAACATAGAGGAACGTGCGTAGATAAATCAACTTTTTTCATTTGTATATTGTATAGTTTGGGACTGTCCGACACAACAAAATGAAGTTTGTAATAATCAACGATTTTCGTAAATGGTAATATTACTTGAATGGAAGCTATTTGTTTAGCGACATCGATCTGCAGCAAGATTATATGAGGGTATGACTGGATAATTTGATAAAATTAAGTACAAGTAAGACAAATGTTACCTCATCATGGAAATCAGTACTATGGATTGCCGATATTTTTTTGTGTCCAATGCAGTTTCATAAGTTTTGTTGCATTTATTTTACGAACGTTTTGTTATGAACGTTGTAACGGCAGTCCTCAGTGCAAAAAGCACTGCTCATCAGTACCAGTTCATACATTCATTTTTCCATTATTTTAAGTCATTGCACCACATCAAATAAAATTACATTTTCATTATAAAACAAGTAATCTTCATTTTACCTTATTCTATCCCATCAACTTATGTTCCAATGACATTTAATTATTTTAATTTTCAAGAATAAAAGAAATAGTTTGCTCGAAACCCAGAAGCACTATTTATACAAAATTTTTAGTTATAATCAAAACATTCATTTTGCTCAATTTTTGTACTTCTATAATAAAATTAAAAGCAGAATGTAATATCAAGTTGTAAATAAAAAGGGGTTATTTTATTTTCATTGACTTAGAACATCAATTTGATGATCTCTGTGCTTAAATATTTAATTTTACAAGTGGTCTAATTAAATTAAATGTTCTTATTAAACTATCTTAGTTTATAAAACTAAGTTGCGTTGTAATCAAGTACAGTAAAACATTTAAAACATTTTATTTCTAGATACAACTATTTTTGAGCAAAATTTCCTTAGAAAATTCAACTAGTGAGAGTAATTAGAGCTTCAACAACATTTCCTTTGTGTTCTCTTAGAGTTTGTTCAGCTACTGCTCGGTTAATCTCTATTTCTTTCATCTAAAAAAAAGTTAATTATGATGTAAATAATCAAAACAAGTTGAAGGACAATAACAAATAAGAAATTTTACTTACAATGAGATCAACATCTTCTTTTTTGATTGAGACTTTGAGAAGTTCTTTTTCTTTAGCTTTTTTTTCTGCGACTTCCTTGTTACGCTTGTCACCAATAATGCTCATAGCCTGCACATGATAATGAGTTATTTAATTTTTCATTCTGCATAAAATTAGTAAAATAAAAATTTGTATAAAATGATTAAAAAGAATTGTACACAATTGATTTTTTTTCAATGAATAACTAATTTAATAAATGTGAAAAAAATACTAATAGAGGTTAGAAAGTGCAGATCAGATGCAAGAGCACAGTTTCATGATTGATCATACTTGTAATTCAATCAAGTAGTCAAATAATTTGAAGCTTTATGAAAGCTTTTTATAAAAGTAAATAATACAAATAAATTAACTTTCGGAGAGTAAATAAAAAAACATGTACTCACATCCGAGAAACCAGCGGAATTTGCAATTTCGGTTTCTTCGGCATAGTCAGTGACTTTTTCAAGATCAGCTGCTCCACTGTCATATTTGGCAGTTCGCTTTTGGGCTTTTTCCTGCTGAACATCTTCGCAATCTCCGTTAATATCTTCGTCAGCCATGGTGTTTGGATAATTTTTCTCTGAAATTTGCTTCAAATTGTATTAGTTGCAGACAGCCTAAAACGATGGGCAACGAGACCGAAGATCAGACAGCAGCGCGCCGCAGACGGCAGAGCCGCAGTGGAGGGAGAACCGCTCGTTCGATTCGACTCTTGCACGCGATAAGTCGACGCTCGTGAAATGCAGCGGCTATTCATGGGATTTGAATTTGAAACTTGATGCGACGGAAAAATTTTGACTAGCATCGGTAAGAAATGAGAGCTGCATCTATTGCAAAACTGAAAATAATCTGTAGGACAGCGTTGGATATCGTTTTTGGGGAAATTTAATGAGAATCGATCGCTTATTATTGAAGCAGCACAAGCGGCCGTTTGATTTGAAACTCGCTTGGCTCCAAATTTGTTTATGTTTACATACTATCCTACTGTGTGACATTGGGCCAGTCACTGTTCATTCATTCATTCGGATCATTTGAAAAGTCTGACAGTACGTACTCGAGAGTTTATTTATCAAAGAGTCATAATTTCAAACTGTCGCATTATGACTGAATTGACTGGAGAACGGAGTTTGAGCCCTTTTTTAGCTCTGTACTATTCTCGAGTGTTTCCTTACGACGATTTCTGTGGATGGCTCACTTACAACAGACGTAAGTTAATATCGGTCACATTTTACTTTACAGTCATGATCAATGGCAGATCGCGATCTGTTCAACGATTTATGTTGCAGATGTGTCGTTCCCAAATAGGGAATTCGTGTTCGACTGCGGGATCGAGGGAACTCACGAACACCTGAGTTTCTCCGATGCTGTAGCACTGAAAAATAAACTCAGAAGACTTCGTCCGGATAAAATCGAAGTGGGAGCCGTGTTCTCTGCACCGTAACGTACCCTTTGCATGGAGTCCATCTTTTGATTTTCATGCTTTTTTTTAAACTAAACATTTTGTTCGTTATACAGACCGAGACATATCGGCAATCTTCCCGTGGAGAAAGAATTCGTCGTTGACATTGATTTGGCCAATTATAATCACGTGAGACATTGCTGCGCTGGCAATAATGAAAGGGAGGTGTGTCACGACTGTTACGAACTGTTGACTCTTGGAATGAGAATTATAGATAGAAGTTTGAGAAGTAATTGCATTTTTTTCACTTAATTTGCACTGGTAATCGTTATTCGAATAATTGAAATTTATCTTGCTCAGTTGAACATGGGTTCAATCACATACTGTGGGTTTACCATACCAGGCACATGTATGCTTGGGTCTGTGACAAAAAAGCTCGCTACTTGCCCAACAGTTACAGACGGGAGTTGATCAACAAATTGCAACATGCTCACTTTTTCAAGAGTGTGAAGGCGAAAGGGCGAAGCTTTAACTCAGGACTGCTCAGTGAAAGCATCCAGTGAGATTTTCATGGACATTTTTTTTTAACGACGAGCAATTGAAATAAGCTCGATATGCGTTGATCGTAATATTTTATCGTTTTTTTAGGAGGGCTCTATCATATATTCGGCCTCGATTTCAACAAATTTTAATGCAACAAAATTTATTTGAAGACACTCCAGACAAGATGTCTCACCTAATGTGCATTATGCCCAACCTTACTGTGGGTGGAGAAGTCCATTCTCTTATTCGTAGTCTCGAAGGTCGAGATAGCTGCCAAAAGTTTACGGAACTCACCAAAATGATAAGGTCGAAAGTCGAGATGGTGAGTAATCTAGTGAAAGCCTAACAATTTCCTCCGCAAGCGAGATAAGAGAAACAAGATGAAAAAATTTTAATTTCAGGGAATTCCGGAATGGGTTAATCATTCCAAACTTATGGATGAAATTTTGATTTGGTACGCTTACCCGAGGATGAACCAAAACGCCAGCATCAGCATGTGCCTGCCGCTGATCGCTCCGTTTACCACGAAATCCAAAACCGGTGAGATAGCCATTCCCATAGACATTGACTGGGCTGAAGACATGAATCCCGTGAATGCGCCTACCATCGAACGGGTAATGGAAGAAGTAGAACTTGCCATCAGGAATGGCCACGAGGTCGAAGACAATACGTGTCTCAAACCATTCCTGAGAATCTTTCGAGAATTTCTTACAAATTTATTCAACTCGAATGACCAACGAGAAGATTTACCAAATAACATCAACTACCAAGAACCAAACGTCGACCCACCAAGCAACAACCAACCAAAAAGCACCGACATGCGAGCATGCCACCAACAATAATAACTAAGCAGTGAACGGCAACCAAGAAGCATAGTCTTTTACGGCATTTTTAAACCAGACTCGAGTCTTTTTTAATGACTCGATTGACTTTTAAAATTCGTCTCGTTTTTTCATCTAAACTTAGATTTAAATAGATTTAGATTATTTAATTTGTAAGATTTTTGCAAAGATTAGAATCTCATTTTCTTTTCGACAATTTTTAAAATTTTTTTCATCTAATATATTATAAACGTTCGAACTGTTTAATCTTTCAAGATTTTTGCAATTCTACAACATCTACAAAAAAGCCAAACGAAATGCATACTTTTGAATCAAGTATGCCGCACATAATGTAACGCAATGTAAATATCATCACAAGTTGTCAGCGTCGACCGAACTAAAAAAAGCACACGTGAACTATAACAGAAGTCAATAAACCTATTTAAAAATACACATGGATGTAATTTTGCAATTAGGTTATTAAAGAACATGTGCTTAAGGTTCGAAATATGTAAAAAAAAACGTTGTCCTCTCTTATGATTAATCGTCCAATAAATGTAAAATTAAATCAAGTGCCAAAATGTTTTTTTTATGGATTATTCCATCTTTTGGTCATTGACTTAATAAAATTTTTGGCTAAAAAATTGCAATTATGTTTTAAAATTTTCACATAATGTTGATTAATAGATATTTTTTAATATTAAAAAATAATTTAATCTAAAACGTGAAATATGTAAAAAAGACTAGAATCTTTACTAAAAAAACCACAAAATCATAATTTTAAATCTGCCGCTCAAATTTAAGTTGGTTAGCTTAGTTTATCTGGTAGACCGCATGAGCGACTGCCGCGCGGGCTGCCTTGATCAGTGCTTACCTCGTGTAGTACACTGTACACATAACACAACACGTGTAGAGTTTAGTTACATAGTTTGACTCGTATCGCCTGCATCAAAAGTTTATTTACAACCCTACGAACAAATAGTGCGGCAAATTTATTATTTTTCATCATGTCTGACGTGCAAGAATCATCGGACAATGAGGAAACTTCAATCAACGGAGAATCTTCAATCGACAAAGAATCGTCAATCGACGGAGAAACTTCTGTCAACGACGAAACTTTAACCAATGAAAATACTTTGGTCAATGAAGAAACAACAACCAATGAAGTTACCTGGAAGGACTTGGGACTAAATGATGTTATGTTGAAAGCTGTAGAAAATTTGAAATGGGAAAAGCCTTCATTAATTCAACAAAAAGCAATACCTCCTGCGATTGAAGGTAAAGATATCATTGGTTTAGCAGAAACAGGTTCTGGAAAAACTGCTTCGTTTGCATTGCCTATTGTACAAGCGTTATTAGAAGATCCACAAAGGTATTTTGCCCTTGTTCTTACTCCAACAAGAGAACTGGCATTTCAAATTTCTGAACAGTTTACCGCTATAGGATCAATGATTGGTCTTAAATGCGCTGTCATTGTTGGAGGTCTAGAAATGAAAACGCAAGTTCTTCAATTAAGTAAAAAGCCACACATTATTGTTGCTGCACCTGGTCGGTTAGTAGATCACTTAAAATCAACAAAAGGTTTTAATCTTAGATCATTAAAGTACTTAGTATTGGATGAAGCTGATCGACTCTTGAGCAATGAATTTGAAAAGCAGTTGAATACAATTTTAAGAGCTGTTCCACGAGATAGAAAAACTATGTTATTTTCAGCTACTATGACAAAAAAAGTTCATAAATTACAGAGAGCATCATTAAAAGATCCAGTAAAAGTTGAAGTATCAACAACATATCAAACTGTTGAAAAATTGAAGCAATATTATATGTTTATGCCTGGACAGTATAAAGAAGTATATTTGGTACATCTTCTAACTCAATTGCAGTCAGAGAAAGAAAAAGAAAAAGCAAAGAGTGTAATGATATTTTGTTTCACTTGTGAAAGAACTATGAGAGTTGCTAAACTCCTCTGTGCATTAGGATTCAAGGCAGTACCTTTACATGGACAAATGGTACAAAATAAAAGAATTGCTGCTCTTAACAAATTTAAAGCAAAGGATAGACCAATTTTAGTTTCAACAGATGTTGCCAGCAGAGGTTTAGATATTCCACATGTTGACGCAGTCATCAATTTTGATGTTCCTACTCACAGCAAAGATTATATTCACAGAGTAGGCAGAACAGCCAGAGCTGGACGCGAAGGTCTCTCTGTTACTTTTTCAACTCAATATGATCTTGAACTCTTTTTGAATATAGAAAAATTAATAGAAAAAAAATTGGAGTTATATCCACACAAAGAAGAAGATGTTATGAGTCTTCTAGAAAGTGTGATGGCAGCTCAAAAGCTTATGGTTGATGAAAAATCACAAGCCATTGAAGACAAAAAAATGGGCCGCAAGCGAAGACCAACTGATAACGATTTCGAAAATGATATAGACAAAAAAGCGAAATTTAAAAAATCTTTTAAAGGAAAAAATAAAAAGAGAAGAGTTCATTAATAGATAATTTCAACGATTGTAAATAAAAATGTTTATAATGTTATTACAGCTACTGTAATGTATGTAGAAAATAAGAGCTGTCTTTGTTTATTTTTAATAAACAAACTTTAATAATATTTAAAAATTCTAACATATTTTTTTGAATCCTCACCCAACCTCACAGACACGCCATCTTCATAATCAATAGTCGACTAATTCGTGCTATGCTGCTGTGTGCAGTTTGCTTGAGCTAAAAGTAGCGATCTACAATATCCATGCTTGCGTGGTTGCTGCATCCGTATTTGGTCTGTAGAGTGAAGCTTGTATGTCGCACCAGTAACTATAGAGAAAATTCAATACTTTATAAAGTACTGTGATTTATTTTTCAAAGTAGTACGAGTATATAAAATAAACAAAATGTCACAAGTATCATTAACGGAGCAACCGCATATGCAGCAAGTCGACTTGACTCAACTTAATTTGGCACAACTTACGCAGTTGAAGCAGCAATTGGACCAAGAACTTTCGGTGTTTCAAGATTCTTTGACTCGTTTGAAAATTGCTCAAGGAAAATACCAAGAATCAAATGAATCTTTGGACAAATTCACACCAGAAGCTGAAGGTTTGTCATTTTATCGACAACAACTTTTTAAATTATTACTTTTCGCTTACGATGTTTTAAGGTTATACATTCCCTTCACTTTCAGTGGCGATTCTATTTTTAAAATTATTCTATTAAATTTTACTTGTCATGCATCATCAGTGATACAGAACTCAAATTTTATTTCTGCTGATTAATAAATTTCTACTTTAAAATGTTCTGTTACAGGAAAAGATATCCTAGTTCCTTTAACTGGTTCCATGTATGTACCTGGTAAACTTATCAACACATCTAAAGTTGTCATCGATGTTGGTACAGGATACTATACAGAACAGTATATTGCAGATGCCAAAGAGTACTTCAAAAGGCGCATTAACTACGTTACGGAGCAAATTATGAAAATTCAAGCAATGGGACAAGAAAAAAGTAAAATAAGGGAGGCAATGATGGACGTCATGGAAATGAAACTTCAAAGTGCACAAAAAGAAATGGCTGAAAAAGCATGAGTCTTGCAAAATGATGTGTGATCTAACAATAAAAAGCTAAATAACATCTATGAAAAGATCAAGAGCCTTGACAAAAAAACAATAACTGTGAACAATAAATAAGTGACTTAAATCTCTATGCTATGACCAGTCATAGTATTGTAATGTGTTAATATAAAAAGAAAGATGACAACGCTCTAGCATAAAATGTTTATTAACTCATGAAATTGTTACTTTATTATCTTCATTTCTTATGTAAGATATTATTAGTGTTACTTTAACTTTCAGGTCAACTCAAAAAATTGTTAAACATCTGTAGATCTCATTAACGATCTATATAATAGACTACAAAAAATTCTCTTGAATTATGTGTTTCATACTGCATTTTATTTCAACAAATGTGCAAGGCATGTGACATTTGTATAAATATTATTTAAAAATATATATTTAAAAAATATAATATTTTGAAAACCAAATTGAGTAAATTTTTATGAAATTATAAAAAGAAATTCAATTTCAGATTGAAGTTTACTTGTGTACAATTTAATTGAGAAGGAATGCAGGAAAGAAATATGAAATGTGAATGAAAAAACTCAATCTTTTTCAATGTTTAGCATTGAACATAACAAAGATCAATAATAATTTATTTGTTAGTCAATTTAAACAAGATTTTATGGGAAACAATATAATAACAACATGTTGATCTCGATGGAGCTTTTTGGACAGACTCTTGGAGACATTTTATGTATGTAATAATGTATGCATTACGAGACAGTATCTCCAGTTCGATATATTTTTATTTTTGTCTTTTAACTCTTTGCGCGCAGGTACCAAAAACATGTCTCTTCATCGCAGAAAAATAGGATGAGGGGGAGTCTGGATAAAAATCGGGAAAATATCCACAAATACGTTCATTCTTATTATGCACCCTTAACAATTTTACGTGATAATATATACACTCATGAAAACGAGATATACTTGGCAATTGGGAAGTGGGCAGTTGGGGCTCGAAGACTATAGTTTCGTCGTCGTTTTTATCATATTCTACATAATAAATACATTATATACGTTGTTAGTTCCATCGTCGTCTCTTTTTGATAACCGATATAGGATTACAAGTAAGCGTCGTCTTGTCTTATTTTTCGTATATTTTAATACTCATAATTTTTTTTATTTTAATCATTATTTATAATATATATATTTTTTGTTTTTTTTTCTTTTAATTTATTTATTTATAACGTACATACACATTTTCTTGTTTGTTATTTTGTTTCTAAATTATAGTAATTTTTTATTTGTTAATTTTGTTAATTTTCATCTTCTATTTACAGAAATAACTCTTGGGAATGATCGAATCGGTTTCCTCCCTTCGCTCCCTGCTCCATTTTTTTTCTATATAATATACATGTACGCGTGTATTTATGTATAGGTGCTTCGCCTCGATCTCTCGTCCTGTTTGTCGCTCGCTCAGCTTTTGATTGGCCAGATAAGCATGTGTGTCCTCGCAGGGTGTAGGTGTCTTAGAGGACGCAAGAGTCCAGGGTGTCGGCCCATGGATGTTATCTCGTAGCGGCGGCGAGCGTCAGTATTGTCGTGAGCAGCAGGGCCAGCAAGCTCGATCGGGCGCTCGTCGTCGAGCCTGAATAAAACATGTAAAAAACTTGACGAACGATGATTCGACAAGTGCATCGATGCATCGGGGGAGGGTGCACAATTAGTTTCGGTTACGGGGGATATGTTAAATTATGAGGGTGGGTAAAAAATTAGCTTTGATAATTACGATTGTGAGTGGTGTCCCGAGTGCCGAGCACGGTGGCGAGCTTCGGGTGCTCCTCCTCCAGCACGACGCTGATCTTGTCGTCGTAGAGGTGGAAGATGTTGGCACGACAGGTGATGCGCAGCGATCTGCCGCGGCTGAGAATTTCAGGACGTAGCTCGAGCTCCAGGCCGGCTTGGACGAGCGTGCGATTGTCGTTCTTTCCTATGTTCCTTATGCTACTCGAGTTCACCTGCCGAGAAGAAGAAGAAGAAATTAAAGCTCAAACTGTTATTGTCCTTTGGGCTCTTGGCGTGCTACCCACTCGGCCGCAAGTAGTACACTCTATTTTTTTCCTCTTATTTCTCTCTCTCTCTCTCTCTCTCTATAGCTTTTTTTTCTTTTCGCGACAATGTGTTTCGACGAGCGTGATTAAGACAATGCCGGGCCGGGCTGGAGAGCAAAGAGCATTATCACACTCGCAGCGATGAAAAGATTTTCTTCGCACGTTTATGAGCTTCTTATTATTCTTGGACCGCGCGTTTACTTCTCTCTCTCTCTTTTAAAAAGTTTGTTGTAGCAGTCGCTCGCGCGCTCCCCGACGACACAACCCCGTTCTTAATCGTTCCAAAAAAAGGAGATCATGAAGAAGAAAAAGAAGAAAGAAAAAAAGGAGATGATGAAGAAAACGACCTCCATAATGGCACTCCATCTCCGCACAATAATGTGCCTCCCGCGTTTTTATATTCGGCCTAGATAATAACAATGCAAGTGTTCGCTAAACTGGTGATTTTGCACTCTTTTTCATTCTTTCTTTTACTCTATCTCTCTCTTTTCCTTCTTTTTTTTTTTTTGAAAATATGCCTGTTTAATGGTGTCATTTATCCGATGCGTTCCGAGTGCTTTTAAACTTTTCGGCGGTTCGCGTTGATTTTTTTTCGTTTTTGGAAAAATCTTAAATTCGTACTCGTACGCGTTCGAATTGATAATAATCGACACGCCTTAAAAGCTCGAAAAGCTCGACGCACAATCGTTCATACATCAGTAATTGAATATCTTTTTTCATTATTTAATGAATACTATTATTTCTCAGAGAACACGGAATTCAATTATTGCGCGTTAAAGCGTGAGTTTCATCCATTGAAACAGCAGCAAAAAATTAATACACGCTGGAATGTATTCGACGAGTAATTCGCGTAATACCACCACGCTTTACGTTCAATTTACGGCGAACAAAAAAAAATTGTCCAATTAAATAAAATCCCGTGGCTCATGTCCGTGCCTGTGCGCGCTTTTGCGTATACATACGTAAATACATATATACGCAACAAAGTATTAATTTTATTACGATCGGATGGGGAGTGAAAAACGAGTCGTTGCGCTCTGTACGAAGGCGCTTTAAATAAAAAAAAAAAAAAGAACGAGTTGGAAAGTGAACATTTACCCGGCGATCGTTGATGGTCCAGGTGATGTTGGCCGCTGGGTTGGCAGGAGGCGCGGTGCAGTTGCCGCGAATCGTGTCTCCGGGCGAGTACGTCTTCTTCTCCATTCGCAGCGTCATGTTGCGCTGCGGCATCTCTGCGGATAATACGTACGTGCGTCAAAGACGAGTTACATCAGAGTCGCAATGAATGTGCAATTTTCATATGAGAATTTATATTGAATAAAATCCCGAGCAAGCTAAAACGAATCGGAGCATCGACTTTTCCTACCCCCTTTCACGAGCCGGCATATATGAGCCAGCGTGAAAACGAGTTGTTTGCATTGAAAAATGAAAATACATAATTCATAATTAGCAAACTTTCATTTTGCTCGAGTTTAATCTGAAAATCGGCTTGTTTATTCTGAAGCTCTAATGGCTACGGAAATTTTTTTTTGTCGACATTTCCGCGAATAATAATAATCGAATACAAATTAATCGTTGATATACGACATTTTTTGTCCAACATTCGTGAGAATTATTTATGTGTGAAATGCATTTTAATGATGAATTAGTATTGCAAAAAGACGCACGACAAAGGCACACGGGCCGGCCGTGCTAGGTAAATAATTACACGGAATTTACGAGTGATTCCCGGCCGACTCATCAATAGCAATAATTTTTCTGCCCATTTTGACAAATGCACTTTGCCGCTCGTATAACGCGCATCGTACCCGCGTGCTACGCGGGGGGCCTGAATAGCGAAAAATACAAATGGAAAAGTACGAGCTTTTAAAAAAGGCAAAAGGCAATTTTTGCCAAGGCTTTGTACACAGAGAGAGGGTAAAAAAAAGCACTGCAGCACGCGCGCGTACATAGAGAGAGGCAAAGAACGTCGTCATAGCCCGAGGGAAAGTGAGCTTTAATTGGTCGCGATTACGGGTGACAATGCGCGCGGCATATACACTCCCGTGCGCCGAGCCCCGAGCTCGCAGATTCCATGCGGAATAAATTGAAAAAAAAGCTAAACAAAGCAATTCTATACACAATTTTTTTTTCTCCCTCTCATCCTCGTTTTTTTTGTTTTGTGTTTTTTATATTTTTTTATATTTTTTATATTTTTAATACCTAGAAAGATGAGAGAAATATAAAAGAAATTGATATACACCACGCCGATGAAACTTTTATACATTCCAGACCTAGTTCATTTGGTTCTTGGGGATAATACCGCAGTCGTTTAATTTTTCAAAACCTTTTTTTTGCGTCAAAATAACAGAAGAAGAAATTACAGAATGTGAAAAAAGGCGTTGTATACTCACTGACGACGTGCATGTAGCCCGTCTCGACTCGGGTTATGAAGCTCGGCGAGTCGGTCGACACCTCGCAGCGATACCTCCCGGCCAAATTAGTCTCGACGCTCCTCAGTATCACGTGATGGTCGTCGCTTTGATTATACTGCAAAATTTAATTAACCATAATGTGAATGGATTGCTAATTTTTTTTTCGCAGGTATTTTTTCGTTAACGCTATGCGTAAAGGCTATTTTCATCATTTGGTAATCGATACATCATCATTGACGTCGTCGCCATTGTCATCATCGTCATCATCATCATCGTCGGTGAAGATAATAGACGCGAGCTATTATATATTTTGCAGAGCGCAATATTGCGAGTTTATAATAAAGATCGATCGATTCAGCCGGTACTCACACACGCAGTCTGTAATAATGACGCGCGCGTGCATATAACGCCTAAATTAATTTCATAGCTTTAGAGACAGATTTTGATGAGCCGCCGCCGCCGCTGCTGATGCTGCTGCACTGGCCGAGGCATCGGAACGAGCGCCGATGATCGTTCGACTCGAAATACAAGATAAGCTTTTATCATTGTTTGTAAATATTGCTCACCACGGTGGATTAAAAACGTGGCTATACGGTCGTTGGGGGAGAAAAAAAGCATCGCTTCCGTTCCGGGGCATCGTCGCGATTATCGTTTACACAACAGACTCACACGCACCCAGTACACCTATATATAGACCGCAAAACTATAAAAATAAAGATCCCGTTGATGAGGGCAGCAGAAACAGAAAAAAAAATAACAACGAGTTGCAACAGCGGGTCGTTATGGCTTTCCCATTGCGACGGGGGCGAATCGTGTGTGTATAAGCATTACAAAAACGCCCGGCGCATATACATATACACGAACGAACACGTACCGATATAGAGATGTGTGTTGGGGGTAATATACAGGTATATCCGAGCGATAGAACCGCGAATCGATAAATTTCAGTTCTGGCTCTGGCTCTCTCTCTCTCGTACAGAGAGTACATATAGCGTAGTCGCATTCGGTTTGCGGGTCACCAACGCGCGAGCTCGTGTGCACCTCTCCATACATGCACTAGCTCTCGTTCCTCTCCTCGTAGCTGTATATGTTTCGTACGTCGCGTACACACTGCGATGATGAATACATAATGCCGCCAACTGTATATATCGAGCGATTAATTTTTTCCCCATCCTATATGTGGAGTACGGCGACGCATACACGGACCGCTGCACGATCATCCAGAGGGAGAGCAGAACTATAACATCGTCCTCGCCGTCGTCGTCGTCGTCGGAAGCTTATCCGCTATTGTCTGCGCACGAGCCCCATAATACATGGACTAGTCGTTTTTTCCGAACGAGCGATTCCGATCGCACACGGCTCTTGTGAAATGACGAAGAGTCGATTCGTTGCCGCCGCGCTCGCTGCTCCTTTTCCGAGCGGCTGCACAGCGCCACGGTATATATACCGGCCACTGGCACTGCCGCCGCCTCGAGCTTTTCTCGACATGTAATATCCGAAAGTTAACCGCAGTAGGCCGTATAATTGCACTTCATCTTTCGCTCTCCATTCTCGACGATCGCCTACTGCTGAACGCGCGTCCAGTTCACGGAAACATCGATGGCTCCTTTATTCCCATTCTTCTCGATTATAGCTCTTGCGTATAGCCGTATATGTACTCTCATATACACACGCGCGCCTACTCAATTAACGGAAATACGATATGTTAATTATCCTCTTCGATTCGTGCGGCAGCAGCTGCGTATCGAATGTGCTGATTATACTAATAGATATGGCCCCCGACGTTGTCCTTAATTGCTTCGTTATAATCGAGCTTGATTCACGCGATCGTTAATGAGACTCATTGCGCGGCCGTGAGGGATTTACGTATAGGTACAAACAATAAATCATATGTACTCACGTCGACTTTTGGACCGAGCGGTGGAAAAACAGATTTGGGCGGCAGCTCCTTCGGGATGAACCTGTAAAACTCCTTGTTGCCCTTGTACCACTTGACCGAGTACAGCGGCATGTTGTTGAGATTGTAATCGCAGGTCATCTTGACGGTGGAGTTTTCGGCCACCGCCGCGGGTATCCTCAGCGACACGTCGATATCCGCCGACGAGCCTGCAAAACAGAAAACGAGAAAATGAGAAAAGCTCCGCAGCAGCAGCAGCGGTTTCGTTATATCCTTATCCTTAATTCATATGAAGCGATGTCATTTCTTCTGACGGTGGAATAGAGGGAGGCGAGGCAGTAAATAAAAGTTGATTGCGGACGCGGAGCTTGCAAGCTCATCGTGTACATGCTCGGAATACATCATCTCATCATCGTAATCGAGCCACGAGCGCCACTGCTGTCGGTGCGCCGCCAGCTAAGCATTATATTTATGGGAGCAAATAATTCATTGAACTGCGTGCGGTATATATATAATACCCGTGATATCATACACGATAGAAAAGGCAGCAGCTGCTGCGCATTAAAAATTTCGATATTCCATGTTGACTCGCAGCAGCAACGGCAGCGGCGCATTGTTGATTCCGATCTCGGAGCCGAAAATTCAAACAAGCCCCATTATCATATAGCTCGTCGACGTACGCGCGTTACTCGCTTGCTCGCTCGTTTTCTCTGCGCAGTCGGGCAAATGTTTGCCAGCTTCTTTTCATCCGCCGATTGTGTGTACCATCTGACCGCAGAATTTGATCAAGCTTTTTTAACTGCGCGCGAGTTTGCTTGCGAGCCTCGTTCGACTCAACTGCGCCGCAAGTGCTGCTATCGAGGAAAAAACGAATCGAGCTTCGGATAAAATACTGCGCCGCGTCTATGAGCCGGGGCAGGCACGCGCGCCCGAGGAATTTCGCGGTGACGCCGCCGTTGTATATTATAGCGACTCGAAGCTTGCGAGGGCCAAAGGAATGCATATCACGCAGACTTTATATCCCCGGGATAAATCTCGCGATTTTTCTTACTTTACCTGTTTCTTTATACCTCGAGCTTAGCTCGTCTCAGGGGGGAAGCAGTGTACGCGGGCTTGTGAGCTCTATATGAATGTTCGCGTATGCTGTATATACACTATAGCATACGTACGTATGTGTGGGAGCCATGTCGAAAAGCCAATAGGATCGAATCGGGGGTCCGAAATTACGCGATCGATTCTTTTACTACGAGCCGTAAAAATTTTTACTATATACATAGATATATCCAGTCGGCGATCTCGCGCGCGCTCTCGTCGGCTTTTATATGCACATGCATGTATATATACGCGCGAGCTCGCATATAAATAAGCTTGGGAGGGGAAAAAACGAGAGGCAGAGCAGCAGCAGCAGCAGCGCGAGCAGCATCAAAAGCTCTTGCGTGAAATTAAATTTGTAAAATACGTATAAAATACGCCCATTGGCTGTGCACAACACAGCCCACTCTCGTATCAAGCTACACACCGTACATGGTCTGATAAATTGTAATTGCCAGGCTCGTTAATGCCAATGATGATAACGATGACGAAAAAAAAGGGTGGAACGAAAAAGCAAAACGAAGAGGCAGGAGCTGCAGCGCACGAGGCTCAGAGGAGGAGGAGGAGGAGAGAAAATGAAAGGCCGTTTAGTATGTGTGTATGCGCTGGATGTATGGTGGTATACACTGTGCCCCGCTGCTGCTGCTGCCCCTGTAAACGTCACAAACGTCGCGTCACGCATGCACGACGCGGCTCGTTTCAAACAGGCGCAGCTCGCAGCAACAACAACAACAATCGCGAATCTCGAGTGTCGAGGCCAGGCTAGTAATCTCCGGAACGTTGCCGGCATCGTCGTCGTCGTTGGCTGTGCTGCTGCTGCCGCTGCTGCTCCTGTCACACACTGTACGCGCCTGCTATTTCGCACGTGTAGCCTCGCGCGCTATACACGTATAGAGCAGCTATACGCGTATAAACACGCGCGCGTTTAAATACAGAGACAGCAGCAGCAGCGGCGGCAGCAACGAGAGGACCTCGACGTTTTCGAATAACATGTGATTTCCATGCTGCCTCTGCATCCTCTGCATCCCTCCCTCCCTTTGTGCACTGCAGCCCGTGTACGTACGTATATGTAGGATATACGCGCGCATAGATATGCACATACATTGCTCTGGCTTCAATTAACAAGTCGTTGCGTAGCTGCGCTCCGATTTGTGTATTTCTATATGTATAGCCAGCCCCCCGCCCTCGTATTTATGGCCTCTCACTCCCGACTCGCGCATTATATACACTGCACCGAATGATTAAGGGCGGCGCATGAAAAAATAAAATGACAAAACAACCAGAGTGGATGAGAGAAAAAAAGAGAATCGAATCATCCGACGTAGCGACGTTTTCAATTGACGCGAGCTTTATAGCTCGTATAATACAGCCGTATACAGTGCGCGCAGCTATATTCGACAATCCGATTGCGAGCTCTTAAACGCCAAGCGCGAGAGAAAGGGAGAGAGAGAGAGAGAAAAATAAACGTATTTTGTCACGCGCGACAAATATTTTAAGGTGTATATGTATACACGATACTGTGCGAATTCTCGAAACTCCCCCGCGTCTTACATATACATAGACGCTGCGATACATATCTGCATGGCATACTTTTAGCCATATATGCATGCATGGCAGTCGGATCAATCGTATGTGTACGCGCGCGTATATAGCACGCGTGCAGATCTACATATACATATTCGCGCTTGCGATACACAACCATTTCTCTTGCTCTCTCTCTATTTCTGCTCTCGGGCGTGCCCGCACCCGCCTCGGCAAAATCCCAAACATACAACGTAAGAAAAATGCAATTTTAGTTTCCCGCGTGTGCGCAGCTTCCCTCTCTTTTTTCTTTTTTTGTATTTTGCTACCTTCTATTTTTCCTTACGCTTCTTTTTGTATATTTTTTTATTCTTCACCCGACTCGATGCAGTGCAGAGTGTGTATAGAGGAAAGCACGGAATGGATTCGGCGTGGGCGCGCGGCTATACGCGAGCGAGCTCGCATGTAAAAACGGGGTGGCGCGCGAAGAAAATATCGGGATGTTAAGAAGCGCCCGCAATACAGCGCGCGGGGCGGTAAATCACACTCGCGCTTCTCTCTCGCGAGCATGTATGTGTGTCACCTTGTATGTAGCGAGATTTTTCTCGCCGGGTGTGCGCGACTACGACGACGACGACGACGACGACGACGACGACGACGGGTTAGAGAGTACAGCAGTTTCCTTATTTTTTTTTCGACACTACACTCCAGGACTCTCTATCTTCTTTATGCGCGCGTTTATATACATATAGACGCGAGAGGGGGCCGCCGCCCGAACGAGGATAGAATCTCGAAGGCAAATTTTATTGCTGGAAAAACTGGATTGCGCGCCAGCGATACAGGGTGTCATTTAAATCGCTTAAAGTGTACAATACGAAAATGTGTGCAGGCAGCTCGTCGACTGCAACTCTCGCGCGCGAGCGCCAATGATTTATCTCGCAGGTAACGCAGCGTCGAGCCTCGTCAATTGCATCAATTTCACATAAATCACAGAATTTCACTCCAATTCCCTTATATATATATACCTGCACTCTGTCTCTCGCTCTCTTTCTCTCGTCGTTAAGCGCTCGAATTTCTGTTAGCTGCTGCGCGCTCATCGGCCGAAGCGCGTCGAATAAAAAAGCGTCAATTCCCTTTGTTCGCCGTGCGCGCATTTATAAACCGTTAAAAATTCGGGTAACGCGGTCAAATGCGAACGGCGATGCATACGTATGCTCGTCGTCGCGACGATGGTATACATGCACGCGCGGCTCGAATACGGCCACGGACTCGCAAAGAGGCGAAAGACAGCAGTAAGGTGTATTTTATACCGGCACAGCACACAAAATCTATTCAAGTGTCTCTTTTGCCTCTTTCTCTCTCCCCAACGACGACGACGACGACGACAGACGAGTGTTTCGTCTATCGTTTTCAATGTGTACGCCGCTACACATGCAATTTTCTCCACGTGCAGAGAGAGAGACACGTTAAAGTTTGCCTCAACACGTACCAAAGCGATTGATTTTCATTTTTTCCCTCCTTTTCTCTCTGCGAACGTGTGTGTGTGTGTGTGTGTATGTGTAAAAAGTGTATTACACGTACTGTACTGCGCGTCGCGTTCCGATCGAGCCGGGGCCTACTACTGCACTTTCGACAAAATACCATCCGCTACCTATGCGATCGAGAATTCGTGTCAAAAGTTGAAAATGTCAGTCAGGCGCGATATCGACTCGCATCGATCAGCGCGCAATATATATAAGTACAAAACTCTCGCGCGAGATTCATCGATGCACCGCGCTATAACACACAGAGCGAGCGTGTCGATTGCAGTACACGCACTGCACAATTAAGCGCGCGCGCAGGCAACAGCGCAAAGCGTCCGACTCTTTGGACGGCTCGCGCGCAGGAGAGCATTGAAATCCGATTATAGGATGAAAAATTCGAAAGAGCTGCAATGAAACAACTTGTGTTATAAAGAAAAAAAAAGCGCACGCCAGGCAAGAGTCTCGATTATTAAGCGTCGAGTTCTATACACGGTACGGAGAAACACACGTGCTGGGAGAAAATTCTCCGCGCGTCGTATTTCGCCATTGGAAATTCGATTGTGCTGCGGGCGCCAGGCGTGAGCTCGACTCAGTCCATTGTGCTCGCGATCGAAACAATTACACTAGCTCGCGGGCGAAAGGGTCGCCGCCGCCGCTGCAGCCGACGACGCGTCACGCATGATCCTTTCCCGAGTGCAGCACTGTCCGCGCGCGTTTTACATATACACACACGCCAATTCACTGTAGCCAAGCTCGAGAGAGCTCCGAGATCTGTCGATCGATTCTCTCTATCTCGCCTCTTCTCGACGAGCCCCTACCGTCTTTTTTTTCCACGCAGCTCTTGCTTGAAAAGAGAGAGAGAAAAAATAAAATCGATGATATACACACGCCAGTGGCGGAAAGCGTATTATTATGTATAATACGCGACGGCTCGATGTGCATCCATAAGCTTGAAAGACAATGTGCGCGTCGCGTGGCAAATGAAATTGGATTCGTGGCTCGAGCCGAGTCGACGCGCTGCATGCAGTCTGTGTGTGTTTGGGCGACTCTTCTAGCACATATGCACGTACCTA